CGGCTTAATATAACCTTTTCTATAAATTTATTGATAAGACATAAGTTTGCTCCAATACGGAGACATTGAAATGGAATTAAACATTTCTTACATTATCTTCAAGGAAAAATTGATATGATATTTATTTTACGTAAATAAATCAAAGTTAGTTTAATTTGTTATACGGATGTAGGTTATTTATCCGATTCATATAAAACTCGATCACAAACGGGTTACGTATTTGCACTTGGTGTGATGACTATATTATGAAGTTCTATGAAGCAAATTATAGTTGTTAGATATTCAAATCACCATGCAAAAATACTAATTTATGAGGCACGACGAGAATGTGCTTGACTAAGATCAATGATCCATCATATCCGAGAGATATGCGGTTTATCTACTAGCAAAGAAGCTCCAACAATATTATATGAAGATAATGTTGTTTGCATAATTTCATTAAAGAAAGAATTCAATCAAGTGACAATTCAGCAGATTTGTTCACTAAGGCATTACCTATCACAACTTTTAAGAAGATAATTCATAAGGTTAAAATGCATCTTTGTAGAGATTAACGTGTACAAGGAATATTGTACTTTTTTTACTTTACTAGGATTTTTTCCCACTAGGTTTTTTCTTAATAAGATTTTAACGAGACGTATTCCTTGTATTATGGACATTCAAGAGGGAGTATTATGAAATAATGAATGTTCATGACTATTTCATATTCTCACTACCTATTATTCTTAATGTGATTCAATTCACCATTCAATATGAGAAATTGAAAGAGTGATGTAATTTGTTTAATTATTTATGCATCTTTTAATAGTTTATAGTCCCTTTCAATTCTCTTCCTAATCTCGAAGCCTATAAATAGGCTTGATTGTTAGTTGAGATACAAGTATTTTGTAGAGATTGAGAGATTATTTAGAGTTGTTATATCTTGTATTCACTTTATCTTATAGTGAATTCATTTTCTTATCATCTTTCTCTTCAATTTTACTATTGTTATTATTTCTTTTATAATAGATAAATTATTTTTTTGATGATTAGCTTTTTTTTTAATAACCCAAAAATTAATTCAAATCTAATTATTGTTAAACACTTTCTAAATTCTTAATCTTGGAGAATATATATATATATATATATATATATATATATATATATATATATATATAATTCAAAGCCACGCTTATCCATGAATCGATAATCATTATGTACTACAAGGTATGGCATAAACCTCCAATAATTTTTTTTCTTTTTTCTTTTTCCTCCTTTAATGCCGTCAACAACTTAATTTTCATCTATTGATCAGCATGACTACTAGTCTCTGAACTAAAAATTCTATATTATTAATCCTTGAACTAGATGTCTAATTTGATTAGTCCAATACTGTTAACTCAAAATAAAAATTATTTTCAATTATTTATAGAATATAAGGACTCAAGCAAATTAAAAGGAAAAAAAATAGTATAGATCAGACAAAAAAAAGTTTGAATAATATTGCATGGGCAAATAAGGAATAAAAATTATGTTATTATTATTATTATTATTATTATTATTATACATGTGTGTGTATTCTTAATTGTTACATGTGATTTTTGATGTGCGGAACTCCATCTTTTCTTTTCCTTTTTTCATCAATTTTTTAAGTAACTGGTAGCATGAAATTTTTAATTCAAGGATTAATGGTAGTAAAGGAGATTATATGCAATTTAACCACTCTCTTTTTGTTTTTTTTTTATTCTTTTCTATTGACCTGGCAACGGATTCTCTTCAGTCACTGCCTCACTGACGTTTAACTTGTTTGTCCCATCACCAAATTTAAAATATTAGATAGATTTCTTGTAGCAAGTGGAAGATTCCTCAACATTGTTCCGAAATTTGGCAGGGTTTTCAGTTCCGACAAGAAGCTCGACCACTCCATTTTATTCATGTTCAAACCTGTCCACGTAGGCCCATAAATATTTTATATACATGTACTATTAACTCTAATGCAATTTTTCAACTTTATTTATTTATTTTTTATCACTGCTACAGTTTATGTTTTTGTCTTATTATTTATTTATTATTTAAATTTGTTTGACTACTTTTCTCTTATCAACTGATACTATGTTGTTGTTTTTTTAAACCATTTTAAAACGCAATTTCTTATATGTACTGGATACCTTTTCAAAGTATAATTTCTCTACTTTTTTTTTTCCTAATAACAAAGGTATTTTTTATTTAGGTTTCACATATTGCGATAAAAATTATTCTTCAACAAATGTCAAGTAGGCCTTCTATATTCTTAACAAATTATACATTTATAGGAAATAATCCTAGAGAAAACCTATCAATATATTCTTATATAATGCATATTTATTTTAAAAATATAAATTAACTGCAGTATTTAGTTTATCCACATTGCCTAACGTTTACATCCGTGATCAGTTTGTTTCATCAATATTAACTTTCACATTTATGCATGTGATAGCTTAATTATGAATTGACTTAAATGCATTTTCGAGAATATGTATGTTCTAAATGCTCTGGATAGACAAAAGGTTATGTTTGATTTATTTTTCTATGTAAGGGTATAATTGAGACAACACAAAATATATAAAGCTACATTTCTCCTATTTCATGTCCAAAAAAAAAAAAAAAGAATTAAATAATTCTATAAGTCTCTAGAAATTATTTTATATTACCCTCTAATATTTTATAACTTTTAGCTAAATTTAAATAGGTATAGTGGCAAATTTTGCCTTTATTCTATTTCGATTTGACAATTTCGGACCTTTAGTATCAAATTGTGTAATTTGAATATCAAATTTTTTTTTTATGAAAATTGATTTAATTTTTCTAGTTACATTTATATGTAATGGTCAATCGAGTTGGTCGTTACTTGAAATTTTAAAACGACATTGTTTTAACATTTCTCTCGTTAATTATGTTTTTTTTTTAAAAAAAAGACATTCTAAAAATAGTTTTAGCCTCTCTAATCTTAAACTTTTTTTATAAAATATTATAAACATTTTATAAAAAAAATTATAATTTATAATTTATAAAATCAAGGGGGTCATCCCTTAATTATGCTCATTATAATTTTTTTTAAAGCTTGAAATTGTGTATTGTTAATTATGTTTTTTTACAATAATTTTTTATAAAATATTTATAATATAAAATGAACATTAAAATATTTACAATATAAATTATAATATTTTATAAATTAAAATGAGCATTTTTAAGGGTTGACCCCCTTAATTTTATAAAATATAAATTATAAAAAAAATTCTTATAAATATTTATAATATTTTATAAAAAAAATTTTAAAAAAAATTCAAAATTAGGGAGGTTAAAAATATTTTTTTATATATAATTTATAAAATGTTTATAGTATTTTATAAGGAAAGAAAAAGTTTTTTTTTTTAAAAAAAGTTCAAGATTAAGGAGGTTAAAAATATATTTTTATATAAAATATAATTAACAACGAAATGTCAAAACCATGTATTTTTAGTTTTCCAACCCAATTAATCGTTACTTATAACGATAACTAAATAAATTGGATCAATTTTGTTTAGAAACTAATAATTTGAAGTTCAAATTAGTAATTTAATACTGAATATCTAAAATTGTCAAATCATATTAGAATGGAAACAAAATTTATCATTAAACTAATTTAAATACAAAGATAATAACATGGTAAACGAACTAACTTCCATCTCGAACGATATCTCAAACATAGAGCATTTTTAATCTAAATACTACTGGCCTACATATAATGTTTAGCATAAAGACACAATTGACTCAAAATGCTTTAAACCTTCCGCCAGATGGTTACTAGATTAATTTAAAAAGAATAGTATTCATGACTATATATATAAAAGAATATAACCGAAATGCTTGAGTTTCTTGGTCTTATCGGTAATTTTGCAATGTTAGATTTCAATTGTATTAATTGCTCTTGACAGGAATGTCATGACTATATATATTTTCTCCTGCCTATAGATTTTTGGCAACATAATTTTGTCCTTTGTTAGTTGGCTTCATATTGGATATGCTTATTATCCAGCTTGTGAATCCTTGCATCTCCATTTTTTTGTTTCTCTAGGCTTTTTCTGGATTAGTAGTGCATCCTGTTGCATTTGTCGTTTCTTTTACATTTATATCTGAAATATTTTTTGTACAATATTTTTTATAAAACAAATTTTAAAGTAATAATATAAAAAATATTATGACAGTGGGTAACTATAATGGTTATAATAATAATGATAATGGAGATTGATATTATGATGGTGGTGATTGAATGGCAAAAATAACAAAATACAAGTATAATAAGTGAATAAACGTGAAAGTGAAATGGATGCTGGTAGTGGTTGAACGATCGAGTTGTTAATGGTTTTTATGGGATGATAGTGATGATAGTAGAGAAAGTGGTGGTGGATATTATGATAGAATGTTTTATTTTATTTTATTTTTTTTAAATTTAAAAAGAAGAATTTTAGTTTTTAGTTTGTTTGGTTTTACAAGCGAATTAAAATAAAAATTGAATTATCAAACCGAATAAATAAAAAATCAAACAAACTGCATCACAGCAGTTCAGTTTTTTTTTTTTTTTTAACAAAATAAATTAAAAAATAACATGAAATGGATTAAATAGACTAATTAACTTATTTTTAAAACTAAAGAGATTAATTAATTCATTTTGTTGAACTAGAGGGACTAATTTATAATTTACTTGCAAAACAAACGGCACCGCTTAATGATAGCTATTTTTTAGGGTAACGGATATGATCAATTTTTGTAGCCTATTGGGCTTCAATTTTATGTTATTGGGTCAAAATAGATGATTGTATTCCCTTCCATCTTAGTGAATGCTGGACCAAAAAAAGGAGAGAAGAACACACGTTAACTAATTGGTACTTAATAAAAAAGCTCGAATATTAATGGAGAAAGGTATGTAAGTTTCGGGCAATTTCTGAGGTTGCTAGACTGTTGCTAGCATTTTAAAGAGAGCTTACTCAAAAAAACGAACAAACTTACTCTGCGCAGTTGAAGTTCTTGGAGATGGGAATATCCAATTGAACGTTGCACTTTGTAGGGAGAGAGGAGGCAGCATCCTCCTTTATATCTGGGATGCGAGTGGCAGCTTGCTTGACACAATCACATGCAGCACGCTTATCAGCAACGGTTGGAGCGCTGTCCTTCAATTTGGACACCCCGGAACAACATAGCGGCGTAGGAACGCCACCTCCCTTTCCAGTAAGGAAACTAACGCAGGGGGCCAAGTCTGAGTTCACATCAGCACAGGTGACGGCCTCCCCTGGCTTCACCATGAATTGAACCATGGCTAGCACAACCAACACTGAGATGACTGCTCCCTTCATTTTTTTTTTTTTTTTTCTCTTTTGGAAGTATATATGAACTGCTTGACTCTGTATTTTTTTAGCTTCTGTTTATCTGTGAGCTTTTGTTTGATGAATTGAAAGAGAGGGTCGAATGGGGTATTTATAGCCTAATGACGCTTAACCAAACAAATTGTTGTGGGTCATTGATTTCATGGCATAACAAATATTAGTTTTAGTATTTTGGCTTTTTCTTTGCATTGAAATGTCACTTGGTTGCCTTAAATAGCATACAAGGATAAGCCTTCCACCAGATGGTTGCTAGTGTTATACTAATTTATTTTAAAAAGAATAGTATTCAATAAATAAATCACTTTATGTAGCAGCATTCAAATACTAAAATATTGATTAAATACTATAAAAGAATATGATATAAATGTCTGAGGGTCTTGCTCTTATCCTTACATTTTCTTGCTGGTAATTTTGCTATGTTAGATTTCGGCTATGTTGCTCTTCACAGGATAGTGGCTATTTATATTTCCTCCGTGTGTATAGATTTTTGGCAACATAATTTTGTTTTTTTGTCAGTTAAGTTAACTTTTTGGACATGCTTACTAGACGTGTGAATCTTTACCGCTTGTTTTCACTACTGTTAACTCCTTTTTTTTTCTCTGGCCTTTCTCTGGATTAGTGCATCGTTTTGACCGCTTAACTTCGCCGTGAGAAGCTTAAACTTTTTTCTTTTTGGGTAAAGGAGATGATTAATTTTGTAACCTTATGGGCTTCAATATTTGTGTTATTGCTGTCAAAATGGATCGTTGTAATTGGGCTTCATTATCCATTTCAAAAAGCAAAAGCCTACTATAGTCTCTGAATAATTACTATTTGGGGGTGGTTTGGACAATAATTTTTACTATTCTTGTAGCAAGTTTTTTTTTTCTTTTTAAGTTGTTTCACTGTAAATGTTTTTTTTTCATCAATTTAAATTCTTTTGATATATATATATATATATATATATATATATTCAACTTAAATACTTTTGAATTCTTAATTAATATTTTAAATTTAAATTATTATAAGTTTTTATTTAAGAATCTCTAAATAAAGAATAAATTATTTTTTTAAACAAAAATTTTATGAAAAACACAGAGAAAAAGTAATAATTATATAAAAAAATTGATGAAAAAATTATAAATTTTTTAAATTATGTTGTTCTATCTACCCGTAGTGTTGCACGTGATAATTTCAAAAATTAGTCTTTCCATCAACATCAAATAAGAATTTTTTTTCATTTGTTAATTTTTGTAAAAGTATGTCCATTAATTATAATTTTATTTTTTGGAATAAAATATTATAAAAATTATATTTTTTTATTTTTTATTAATTCTTGTTTAATATTTTAGTTCGAATTATTATGTTTTTTTTTAATTTTAAAATCAATCCATAAAGAAGAATGATTTATGTTTTTTTTTAAGTAGAAAATTTATAAAAAATATTAAAAAAATTAATTAAATAAAAAATTATAATTAAAATATTTTAAAATTTTAAAATAATTTTTTTCTATCGGACTCGTAAGCATAGCGTGGACAAACGACTAGTGATTTCTAATACAAGATACTCCTAGTTGTTAAATCATGACTAACGTAAACTCCAATTCCTTTTTGTTTTTCATTTTATAATTGGTTTCCAATTCTAGAGAATTAGAATCTTTTATGGATGTTCAAAATACACAATATATTTAGCTTCAAATAATGTGTTAGTGTTATCAATATTCCTAAAAACAAATACATCGGATGTAGAACAATCAAATGACAACTTGTTTCTTGATGTTTCATTTTACATATGCCATATTCAACATTTTAAACTATCAGCCTATGAATCGGGCTCAAGGAATATCGATGCAACAATTGAAAAGGATCTTTGGAACTCTATCACTTTCCGAGAAGTCATACTTTTGTTCTTATCATGTCTCTAGGAAGTAATAATCACTTTCTCCAATACGTGTGCATTTTGTAGCAACAATCTCATCAACTCAAGTTCATTCTCACTATCTTTAAAATCAATTAGCTCAACCATCTTAAGATGACATTTCAAACATGTGATAGTTTTATTTGACATCATCCATTTAGTCTATTTGCACTAACAACGTAAAGTACAAAGAAATAAACATCCAAGACAAGTCACCTAAATTGTAGACTAATCTACATGTAAAAACAAGACATTGAATTTTTAACAAACCACTTCATTCATTCATAAATATAATTGTTACTTCTTGCAATGCAAAAACCTTAATACATTTCATACATCATAACACCGATTTTGTGATAACTTTTTAACAATGTCAAATCCTTCAAGTAATTTTTTTTTTTGTTGTTGCCAAATTGAACCCTTCAAAGAACGAAGAAAGTCAAAAGCTCATTCTATGAAATTTAGATGAAACCATAATTCCAACCCTAGATAGATTAAGGCCAAAACTTTCAAGCTATAGAAAGCTTATCTATTGATTGATTTAGCAAGATTATTTGAAAAGCCACTACATTCTAGCTAAGTGATTTAACCTAAAATGATTTTGGCAAGATTAAGAATCTCACAACATCCTTGTTTAGATTTGATTGATTGATAACCTCACCGTAATTGGTCAAGCTCAAAATATAGAACACAAATTCTAAGTAAGCATAAAGATTCACAAAGTTGATAGAAACGTTTTTAGAATTTTATTAATCAAATAATTAAAGTTGGTTTCTCTATATTGCATAAAGATCTTATTTATAATAGCAATTTTCGACCACATCAAGGAAACAAGCCTCCTTGTTACATTCGGCCACTATGTCCCTTCCATACTCAATAAGAATTAATTAACTCCCACATATAAAAGGCTCTTTATGTTAGATAAACTCTTAATCATTCATTCCAATTTCATTAAGGATAGTGGGTGATCTAAATCAAACAAGGTAACCGAGATAGAAAAAAACTTAAATTCAGCCCATTTATAAAAAAAAAAATCTTGGCTAAGATGATCATGAACAATTTTACCTAGTTGAGAATTTTGGCCGGACTCCCGTGTCAAGCACTACGAGTTGAAGAACACTCATCCTTAATGTCTTGGTCTTGACTTTCTTCTTGTCCATGATAAGGTGATAGGTTGGCAACATTAAATGTAGTTGAAATAGCATAATCTCATAAAAACTCTATCTTGTATGCATTCTCATCAACTCATTTCACCATTCGTAAAAGACCATTTACTTGTGGTTTAAGCTATGTATATGGACCCTTAGGAAATATTTCTTTCCTCATGTGTAGCCATACTAAATCTTGTTCTTTGAATATCACAAGCCTTCTAAACTTGTTAGCTTCCCCGTGATACTTTTTGTTTTGCTTATTGATCCTCTATCTCACTTGTTCATGAAGCTTCTTAATCTTCTTAGCTCTTTCACCAACATTCAAACTAAACTCCTTCAAGGTTGGATACGATTGGAGTTTAATTTGTGTGATTGAATTTCTTTCATAGACTATTTCAAATGGACTTTTGTTTGTAATTTGAGTAGGTGATCTATTATATGCAAACTCATATTGAGCAAGTAATAAATCCCATTGTCAAATGTTCTTTCCAAGTAAAAAACCTCAACAAGTTGCCTAAACTTCTACCGATAACTTTGGTTTGCCCATTTGTTTATGGATGTGTGGTGGAACTAAATTGCAGTTTAGTTTTTGTCTTGTACCATAGTGTCCTCTAAAAGTGACTTGTGAACTTTACATCCTTATTCAAAGTGATTGTTTTAGTCTGTGCCACATAGCTGAACCACTTCCTTAACATAAGGATTCATTATGTGTGTTGTATCATTTGTTTTGTTGTACAATATAAAATGAGCCATGTTTGAGAATCTATTCACTACAACCATCATGTAATCTTTAGTCCTTTGGGTTTTTAGGTAAGCCCACCATAAAGTCCATACTCATATCAACTCATGGATATACTATAACGAGCAACATTGTATAAAAATCTATTTTTTGACCTTACATCTTTACTAACTAGTAAACCCTATATCGTTTAACATATCTTTATATTTTTTTTATACCCTTGGCCAATAGAAACTTTCAGCCACCATACTAAGTGTTTTATCTTTCCTAAAATGTCTTGAAAGCCCATCATTATGACACTCAATCAATATGCTTTTTTTCTTAAAGAACTCCTCAATATGCATAAATAATTTTCATAAAATAAAAAAAACATTATCAAGATGAAATTATTTGTAAGAAAATATATCAAAAAGCTATCATATATTGCCAAAATCTTCATCTCCTTTGCACAAGTCATTCATCACCTCAAAACCACCAAATTAAATTTATAAAGTAGCAAGCAATGTATATCTTCGACTAAATGCATATGCTACTTTGTTCCGAACTCTAGAACATAGTGGAATTGAGATAAGAACTCACTCTATGTTGTATGCCTTCTTTTCAATTTTCCTTGGCTATGCAAGTAATTGAGCACTTCATGATAGCAAAAATAACATAAACACTTTGACTATCAAGCAATGGCACCAATGATCTAGACCTCTAATAATGGCATAGAACTCTTTATCATATATTAAGTAATTTCTCATTGCATCATTCAATTTTTTACGAAAATATGCAATAGCCCTTCCTTCTTAACTAAATACAGCCCATATTCCCATACTAGAGGCATTATAATTAACTTTTAAAGATTTTTATAAAGTTGGATAGTGATAAAACAGATGCTTTAATCACTTTGTGCTTTAAAGTTCAAACCTCTCTTGACCTTTGTATGTCCACTCAAACTCTTTGATGAATCTTTGGTAAAATGACACCAAACCATGAAAGCTCCCACCTTGATAATACTTTTTGATCTTGGCCAATCCATGATTACCTTAATCTTGCTACTTTCCATCTTAATATCCTCATCCAAAACTACATATCTTAAAAGTAGTGCCTTTTAGTACAAAAATAACACTTTTTTAAGGTTGGGATACAATCGTCCTCCATCAATATATTAAAAACCCATTGTAAATGCTCTAAGTACT